AAAAAAAAAAAAAAAAATGTTAAACTCTGAAAACCTAAATCTCGGCCGTCGCTGTGAGCCTGCGGCTGTCAAGCGCAGGCCGTGCCCATCGACAAACCCCGGGCCGAGACTTCGGGCAGGCCTGGCAGGCCACCCCTGGCTGGGTTTTAGGGTTTGAAGGGATTTAGGGGTTTAGGTTTAGGGGTTCAGGGCAATCATGGGTTTTAGTTGGGGATGAAGCGGTTTCGGGGTTGCAGGGCATAAATAGATTCGAGTTTCAGGATCTTGGGGTACTTGGGAAGGTGTCGTGGTCGTCAGGGCTGTAGAATGTGAAGGGTGTTTGGTGGCTTTTTGTGTTTTCAAAGTTCCCGAAGCCCTACTATAGGGGCCGTAATAATTAGAATAGGGTTGTGGGGCCCATTATACTAAAATTTCAATCAGGAACCCCCCAGAATAACATAGGTAATTAATTCGGCCCTAAACCCCAAACCCTAAACCCCTAAACCGCTAGACCCTTAAACCCCTAAACCCTAAACCCCTAAAGCCCTAAACCCCTAAAGCCCTAAACCCCTAATCCCCTAACCCCTAAAACCTAAGGGTTCAAAGCAGGGCTACCGATGTGGAAGCCTGGGTTCTCTGGGTGGAAGCCTCAGGCTTTTCAGGCTTGAGAGGGGTGCTTTGGGGTTTAGGGTCTAGGATTCTGCTTTGGGGTTTTGGGTTTAGGATTTTGGGTTTTGGGTCTAGGTTTTAGGATTTAGGTTTAGGGTTTAGGATTTAGGGCTTAGGGTTTAGGGATTAGGGTTTAGGGCTTAGGGTAGGGCTTAGGGTAAAGAATCGTGGGTGTGACTTTCAGTTTTAGGGGGTGCTTTCAGGTTTTACAGTTCAGGGTTTGGGTTTCGGTTTCATGTCAAGGGTGCCAGGGTCTTGGTGTGGCCCTGGCTTTGCATATCCGGATCAGGGATTCAGGGCTTACAGGCTCCTTTATAACTCTGCATTACGGTTGAAGTATATTTTACGGTTATGATATTTTCAGGTGAGGGGTTGAAGGCTGCGGTCAGGTGAGTGTTTCGGGTCAGGGTTTTATTCTAGGACGTTAAGCGAGCTGATCGGCCTCGGCTAGCAAGTCCAGCACAGCCAGTTGAGTCTCACGCCACAGATTATGAGCGCGGTTTCTGGGTGTTGGGCTTGAGGCAGCCGACCTAAATTTCCGCATCTGTCCGAGTATTTGCATTGAATGACAGAGGAGCCACTGCCACGCCTACATCTGCGGGAACAAGCGCCGCAACTTGGCTTACCCGGTGACGGGGGCGTTGTTTTCTGCGGTAGGCAGGAGAGACTCTCAGTTGTCCGAGTTGAAGCATGGCAGGGATGTCGAGCTTGCGCTGGTTTGGGAAGTGGTCTTGATGGTACAAATATCCTGCATTACCTTCAGAACCCTAAACTATGAGAATTATGGTATATTCCTTATTCTGGATAATGCAGGATTTATATCATCCACCGTATGACCTTTGTAGAACCCTTATGGCTGAATTACCACAGGGCTAAATACCCTAAACCTTCAGCCACAGCCGTTTGTTTATCCTTTGCTACTGCACCTGGCTCACGCCCCGAATCTAGGTAATCGTTAACCTTTTTGGGGCGTTATAGCCGGTATATGGGTAGCTCTCTAAATTAAGGGTCCCTTTTAGGACCTTTTTATAAGGGTGCCGTCTTATATATTGGGGACCCATAAAGGGACCTTGACTCAGAGAACTACCCATATACTTCCCAAGGTTAACCTTTAGTTCTGTCCAGGATGCCGGACAAGTAAGAAAGTCCTGAGCCCAGTAGAAGGGACCCAGTCAACAGAACGGTGCTCCGTCTCCGCCGGCTTTTAGAAAGCACTAGGACTTTCAGTCGTCTGAAGACGTTCAACAAAGGATCGGGGATGATGCGCCATTCACCTAGACTGCAGTCTAAGAGGATCATAGGACATAGTAAGTCAGGTTACAAGCACTTCTTTTGGGGCGATAAAACGATTATAAGTATAGTTGCAAGCCTAGTTACTATCTCCCATGATCCTTAGAGTACCACAACACCAATTAGGTTCCCTTTTCTAGGATAGTTATAACTCCAGAAAAGCACAACTTACCAAGTCCCCCGACCCTCCAAGTAAGTTCACCCTAACCACCCTGAACCCTAGACCCTATAAGCCCTAAGCCCTAAAACCCTAAAACCCTAAAACCCCTAAACCCTAGAACCCAGAACCCTAAACCCTAAAAATCTTAAGCCCTAAACCGGAAAAAAAACACACCTAAACCCGAAACCCTAATCCCCAAGCCCTAAACCTCAAACCTTAAACCCTAAGCCCTAAACCCCAAACTCCAAACCCTAATCCCTAGACCTTGCAACCATTTGTAACCCTAAAACCCTTTAATCCTAAAACCCTGAAGCCCTTAACACTAAAACCCTTAAAACCAGAACCCTAAACCCTAAACCCTACAACCCTAAACCCTGAAACCCTAAAGGCCTAAATCCCTTAAGCCCTAAACCGAAGAGGCACCTCTACCTAAACCCCAACCACCCTCTAGCATCCCCCAAACACCCACTATTAGGAACCATAAGGGCTCTATCAAAGGGCCAGTAGGGGGTCCTGGTAAACCCTCAAACCTACAGCGCCAAGGCCTGAAACCCTTAACCCTAAAACCCTGAAACCCTTAACCCTATAACCCCTAAGCCCTAAACCGAAGAGGCACCTAAAACCCTAAAACCAAACCCTAAACCCTAGAACTCTAAACCCCTAAATCCCTAAAGGCCTAAAACCCCGAAGACCCTAAACCGAAGAGGCCCTAAACCCTAAACCCTAAACCCTAAACCCTAAACCCTAAACCCTAAACCCTAAACCCCTCAGCCCTAAACCGAAGAGGCACCTCGGCCTCCTTGGAAAAGCACTGGCAAGACCTGGCCTCGCGCGTCCGCGCCCGTCCCGACTCGGACCTGAGCGGGAGCCCGGGCGCTCCGTGAAATTCTAAACTCCTAATTTAGGGTTTAGGGTTTAGGGTTTAGGGTTTAGGGTTTAGGCTTTAGGGTTTAGGCTTTAGGGTTTAGGTTTAAATCCTAAACTCCTAAACCCTTGAGCCTTGCTTATATATATATATATACACATATATGTGGATATTATATATATATATATATGAACTGCCCAATATACATATATGTATACACTTAATTATATATATACACATATATAATCCTACGAAGCCTAACATCCCTAAAGCTACACACATGTTTGCTTCAGGTTTGGGGGGTTCGGCCTTTGGGATTGCAGACAAAGGCCTCTCGCCTCTGCGGGTTTAGGGTTTAGGGCTTCAGGGTTTTCGGGTTTGGGGCTTAGAAGGGTCAGGGTTTAGGGTGTAGGGCTTTGGGGTTTGGGGCTTTAGGGTTTTAGGGTTTAGGGCTTCAGGGTTTTCGGGTTTGGGGCTTAAGAGGTTTAGGGCTTCGGGGTCTAGGGTTTAGGGTTCTCTTTCTGTAACACATCGTTTGTGTGGTCAGCGTCGAAACATTTCCATGTTGGCAGGTCCTGGTTTGAGCTGCATAGTTGTTCGTCTCATTTCGTTGGGTTTAGGGTTTAGGGTTTAGGGTTTAGGGTTGATGGTTTGGTGGTTTGTGCCTGGAGTTGAAGAGTTTCGGGGCATGGCGATAGGGTTGTGGGCTTGTTTGAGTTTAGTATACTTAAACAGGAGCTATAACCGGGGCCAGCACGGTGTCGAATCAAAAGGCTTAGGCGCACTGCGTACTTGCAATCATGCCTGTCTAAGGTTTTTACGAGGGACCCCTAATAGGGACCCTTAATCCCATTACCTTAAATAGCCATTGTATAGTCCTTAGATACCCATATAGTCAGGTAGTCTCCATGTTAACCCCAATAACCTACAAGGGTCCCTGTTAAGGGTCCCTCCTAAAGCGGTATAGAAGCGATACACTCGCTACCAAACAGGCCAACATGCAGAGTCGTAATATAGGGGCTTAATAATTCCCTATATACACTATTTTGGGGGTTCCTTATCATAATTATTGTATAGCGGGCCCCAAAACCCTCTTTATTAAGGCCCTTACAGTAATCACATTCCGTTCCTTTCGTTCCTTGGATCATCACGGACTCTCTTGCCGTCGTCAGGAGTGACTATGATGCAACCTCCGACTCGGAGGAGGCAGAAGCAGAATCGTGAAGTGCGGCCCGTCTGCAGGTGAGAATTCCACGTGGGGGTTTTGTGCTTGTAGATCTTTTGAGCTCACACGTGTGTTGTGCCAAAGCAGCCCAAGAGTATCTTGATTTCTAGGGTAACATTAATTTGACACAATTGTGGCGGTTCAGACATGTTCTCTAACCGAAAAAGCCTCCTCGTGGAGAGGTTGTTGCAGAGCATGGACGTGATCTGTTTGCACGAACGCTCGAGATTGTCGTACCAGGGAATGGCTTGCCGACTCGCTGGCGCCTGGGCACTTGATCTCACGTGGATAGACTACGCGTCGAGAACCTGAATCCTACGGGCGACATCAAGCAACAGACTGTTCTGAAGGTCAGCTGTGCTCTGGAGTGGCGCACCGTGAACATGCGCATAGACTTTCTTCTTGCGTCAATACGCCTACTACAGGCATGTTCGAGAGCTGTGAATACGACCTTGGGAAGTGCCCTTGTAAGAACGAGATTCGAAGAATCGTTTTCCTCCGCGAAGTGCGCGTCTTCCAGGTATCCACTTCCAAGATGAAGCTGCAACAGCCAGAAAGCCGAACCGTGCGTCAGCTCTTCTGACCTGGCACACGGACGGAGCTGTTGAATGCTGCGAGATCATGTGCCGACGGATGTCGGCCCGTCCTGACTCGCACATGGCGAATGCAGGCAGGGAGCAAACAGACACCTGGCTCCTGTGCGCAGAAAGCTAAAGCTAGTACAGGCGAGCTGCGGTTTGGAAGCAGATGACTTCTAACACTTACATGGGTGTTGTTTAGTCGCATTCTGTATTTCTAATTCTAAATCATTCTAAATCTATTCTAAACTAGATTCTAAATCCGAAGAGCACTAATTATTGGCATCGTCGAGCACAGTGTCATGTTTCTGTTCCGTCACTGCCAGGCGGCAGCTAAACAGACTGCATGACTGGAGCAACTACTGGGACCGTTTCCTTCTGTCACGATCCCTTCACATAGTGCTGAAGTGTCGCACCAGCAGCTTTGTTCCGTAAGTGATTTGGAACATGCTGCACCAGTTTCAGAACCGAGATGTGTGCTCGTGAGGCTCAGAGAAGGCCCAACGTGGCCTGGAATTCTTTCATTCTGTATACACTGTAGTGTGCGAAACATTCGAACATGTGGAGGGGGCCCCTGTTGCTTCTGCTTATGATCTCTCGAGCGGCGGCTCTGAGAAACCAGCAAGTCACATCAGTGACGGATGAAGTTGATGAAGTGTGCGGGCAGGAATGCCATCTTATCAACCCGGCCGGAGAAAACTACTATGTCGGATTCCGGGAGGTGGAAGGCAGTCCCGAGGAATTGAAGGCAGGATCCCAGTATGATCTCCGCACTTCGCCATGTGGAGAGACATCAGACGAGCCCCCGCGCAAGATTACAATCGCGCCAACAGGACAGAGAAACCTCGCAGCTTGTAGCAGGGGTATTACCTACCTGATAACTCACAGGATCTCATTTTGAGTCGGCATTCTCGACTGCGTGTGCCCATCAGGAGAGAAAGACCGACATGGCCTTGTGAAAGGGGAGCTCCAGCGAAAGCTTGAGTGGAGTCTTAACCACATCGAGAAGCTCCAGGATGGTGAGATTCGGATCTGCACTTCGGGAGAACAGCCCCGATGCATTTGCAAACTCGATGCCAGCTTCTTAGAGACAAAGAAGGACACCGAACATTTTCTCTGGGCCTGCCTGCCTTTGGCAGCATTTGCTTGTGGAGTTGGCTTTTTCTCTGGGATCCTCTACGCTGCGTACCGCTTGAAGGACGGCTTCTTGAAGAACCCCTCCAAGGACTGCGGCCAAGATGATGAGAGATCTGTCTGTGTGGTCTCACATGGACTAGATGATGATACGAAGGACCGCTCCTTGAAGAACCCCTCCAAGGACTGCCGCCAAGATGATGAGAGAGCTGTCTGTGTGGTCTCATATGGGCTAGATGATGATACTCGTGATAAATATCAGGTTAGTCGTGATATCAAATATTACTCACTATAAGTGCAGCAGTTATTTTGATATGTTCAATAGAAAATACGTAAAATGTAAGTATGTATGCATGCATGCATGCATGCACGCATGCATGCATGCATGCATGCATGCATGCATGCACGCACACCTGTATGTATGTATGTATGTATGTATGTATGTATGTATGTATGTATGTATCTATGTATCTATGTATCTATGTATCTATGTATCTATGTATCTATGTATGTATGTATGTCCGTACGTGTGAAAATGACACGTCCCCAGAGTCTCTCAGACTTTTTGGCGTCGCCACTTTGGTGGCTCAAGACGATGAGGACTTTGTGCAGTGAGAAAAGACCCTCTGTGGTGTTCAGGGTTACTTTGATCATTGGCTGAGTGAGCTGTGCATAGGTAACACTCTAGAGTGTTGTTTGTGTGCATTCTGAGCACGCTATACTTTCGCATGGTAAGCTCCAAGGAACTTTGGTGAGAAGACATGGCCTTAGGAGGCGAAGGAGACTCTACAGGAAAGTTTCGGCTTCCCTTGCCTGAGACTTTCAGCGGCAATCCTGCCGACTGGGAAGAATGGGCCTGGAACTTTAAGGCCTACATCTCGATGTTCGAAACAGGTGCTGTCAGGTGATGTTGATGCCGAGCAAACCGCAGCCCGCGTACTTTTCTCCCGGAAGCTACATGACTTGATTTCGCAACTTGTGAAAGATTCGGCCAAAGTTATCGGTCGACCAAGCGAGGACAGCAATGGCTTTGAGACGTGGCGGAGACTTTTCAAGAAGTTCTCGCTGCCAGGAGCTACCAGGAGCACGTCACTTTTGACGCAGTTCTTGGACTTCAAGTGCAACCCAGCGACCTTTGAGCAGGACTTTAATCTTTAATCTTTGGGAAACCATTAAGACAAGATATGAACGACAGTCAGGTGTACCTTTCCCTGATGGTGTACTTGTAGCAACTTGGCTGAACAAGACAACGGGAGTTCTGCAACAACATGTGAGGTTAATGCTAGAACTTTGCAAACATATGCACAGGTGCGCGAGGTTATTCTCGAATAGCATCGCTCTCGACTTTGGATGAACCCTGTTGCACAAACTTCGGCGAATGCAACTTTCCAAGGAGGAGCTTTGGCTCCAATGGACATTGGTGCCCTTGCGGCAAGTTTGTGGAAAGGAACAGGACAAGGACAAGGAAAGGGAAACGACAAAGGAACAGGAAAAGGAAAAGGAGCAGGAAAAGGAAAAGGAAAAGGAAAAGGAAAAGGAAAAGGAAAAGGAAAAGGAAAAGGAAAAGGAAAAGGAAAAGGAAAAGGAAAAGGGAAGAAAGGAGGAACAGAAAAAGGAAAGGATTTTTCGAAGTCGTCAGGAAAAGGAAACCAACATTGGAACTTTATGAAAGGAAAAGGCAAAGGAAAGGAAGAGGTGGCAAGACAGGACACTTTGCAAGCAACTGTCCCACTTACCGTGTTTCGGCTGTTGATGGTGAGGATCAACTTTGGAACGACGACCAAGGTGATTGGACTTGCTTTGGTGAGTCTGATGATTGGTCCGAGTGGTTCGGGTAAAGTTGTCTGTTTCCCAACCAACTTGCGGCCAGTGGGTTTGGAGGAAAGTTTGAACACAGTCCTACCAACAAAGCGTTCGGAAGAAGGTCCTTTAGGATTCTTTACCTTACGCCAGTTGTCTGTCAAAGTTTCTTTCTACCGTCGGCGTACTCAAAGTAGTTTACGCGCTCGTCAGACAAGTCCTTCAAGTCAACCGGGCTATCTTTCGTCCCTTCGGGAGAAAAGAAAGTAGCTCTGGCTCTTTTGTGTATGCGGGTCAAAGTATTACCCGAGAGCTCCCACTTGTCGACATGATACCGTACCAAAGGTTTGAAAGTTGGGGCCACTAAGGTACCTTGTGCACTCGTGTTGTGAAAAGTGTTACACACGACTTCAAACTCTTCCTTGTTGAAGGGTGCCAAAGAGGGCCTCAAGAACAAAAGTGAGCCATGCCTGATGATGGGCTCCTCGTGTCCATCAGGCGTCGAAAGACTGTTCTGTTTCTTAGAAGAAAGGCTCACGCCAAATCCTGATCTCGACAGTCTATACCAACAGATACTACACAGTCGGGGACATCACAAACGTAAACGTGTAAGAAGCAGGGCTGGCCCTCGAAATCAACCTTCACAAGTCGCCTTCCAAAGATCGTAAAAGGTTGACCCGAAATGCTCCTCAAAGGTGGTTCCTTCCCTGTGAGTGGCAGAAGTGGCCACTCTGCAGCAAAGTCCTTCGGACAACAATGTGTGGCAGCTCCTGAATCCAAAAGTATCCAGTGGTCCGTATCTTCCAAAGTAGATGCCACCAAATGCTCCTCCAAAGCAACATCCTTGAAAGTCGTATTCAAGTTCTTAAGACCGAGGTCACCAACGCTGAAAAGTCATTGGTTCTCATCCGTGCGACCGTTCAAGGAGAAAGTCTCAAGCGGGGCCATCCA